AGCAACTTCTTGCTAGACACCTTTCAAAAGGCAAGGGAAGCAAGGGCAAAAATGAACTATTGGGAATTCAAGATAAAAAGCTTTTGCACAGCAAAGGAAAGAGTCGACAAAACCAAAAGACAACCAACAGAATGGGAGAAGATATTTGCAAATGACTTATCAGATAAAGGGCTAGTATCCAAAATCTATAAGGAACTTATCAAACTCAACACCCAAAGAACAAACAATCCAATCAAGAAATGGGCAGAAGACATGAACAGACATTTCTGCAAAGAAGACGACCAAATGGCCAACAGACACATGAAAGAGTGCTTAACATCACTCAGCATCAGGGAAATACAAAACAAAACCACAATGAGATACCACCTCACACCAGTCAGAATGGCTAAAATTAACAAGTCAGGAAACGACAGATGTTGGCAAAGGATGCAGAGAAAGGGGAACCCTCTTACATTGTCAGTGGGAATGCAAGCTGATGCAGCCACTCTGGAGAACAGTATGGAGGTTCCCCAAAAAGTTGAAGATAGAACTACCCTACAATCCAGCAACTGAAGTACTAGGTATTTACCCCAAAGATACAAATGTAGTGATCTGAAGGGGCACATGCACCCCAATGTTTATAGCAGCAATGTCCACAATAGCCAAACTATGGAAAGAGCCCAGATGTCCATCGACAGGTGAATGGATAAAGAATATGTGGTATATATATACAATGGAATACTACTCAGCCATCAAAAGAATGAGATCTTACCATTTGCAATAACGTGGATGGAACTATAGGGTATTGTGCTGAGCGAAGTAAGTGAATCAGAGAAAGATAATTATCATATGATCTCACTCTAATGTGGAATTTAAGAAACAAAATAGAGGATCATTGGGGAAGGGAGGAAAAAATAACACAAGACAAAATCAGAGAGGGAAACAAGCCATAAGAGACTCTTAACCATAGGAAACAAACTGAAGGTTGCTGGAGGTGAGGGGAGTAGGGGCATGGGGTAACTGGGTGATGAACATTAAGGAGGGCACATGATGTAATGAGCACTGGGTGTTACATAAGACTGATGAATCATTGAAGTGTACCTCTGAAACTATTAATATGCTATATGTCAATTAACTGAATTTAAATTAAAAAATAACATTGAAAAAATGATTTAAACACTCCAATTAAAATAGAGATTATTAAAATAAATACAAAAATATCACCCAACTCTATGTGGTTTACAAAAACTTCAAATATGTGATATAGGAATGTTAAAAGTAAAAGGATAGAAAATATATACCATGTAAGCACTAATCAAAAGAAAACTGGAGTTATATTAGAATCAGAACAAGTAAGCTTCAGAGAAAAAATTACCAGTGATTACATACATACTACATAATGATAAAAGAGTCCATTCACAAAGAAGAGAAAACTCTCCTGGGGTGCCTGGGTGGCACAACTGGTTAAGCATCCAACTCTTGGTTTTGGCTCAGATCGTGATTTCGGGGTCATGGGATTGAGCTCTGCAGGGGGCTCCATGCTCATCGTGGAGTCTGCTTGAGTTTCTCTCTCCCTCTCTTTTCTGCCCCTCCCCCCCACGTGTTTTCTTTCTCTCTCTCTCAAATAAATTAATAAATCTTAAAAAAAAGAAGATATAACTATCCTAAATGTGAGTTCACCTAGTAACAGAGCTTCAAAATGTATGAAACAAAACCTGACAAAACTGAAAGGAGAAATAGACTAATCCACAATTATATTTGGAGACAATATTCCTTTCTCCATAATAGAACTGGTAGAAAATTAGCAAAGATACAGAAGAAATGAATAACATAAATTATTAGAATCATGCATGTGAGTGGGTATGTGATTATTAGTAATATCTATGTAAGAAAAAAATTAATGAAAAAATTCTAAACCAAAGACAAAATTAGAATTCAAAATAAACTTTGAAACTTTCAGGTAATGACAGCAAATTGAACAGCCTTCAAAAACCCCATTAAAACTAAAAGAATTTTAAAACATCATAAATCCATAATAATAAAAAGAACAGGTAAAAAAACAACTGCAATTAAATTTTGGAAGCTGGAATGTTGATGAACTTAGTAGACCTGAAAAGGCTGAACCATAAGGCAGAATGTGGAAAGCCAACAAGCAACCCAATTCATAACACAAAACCTCCAAATGCTCATAAGTTAGTAGCATTTAGATACCTCTAAAAGTGAGGGTAAGAATGAAGCTAAAAATAAAGAATTGGATAAAAGTCCATTTAAGTAGTAGTTTGATACCTAGATTCCCTTCCTACAGCCAGATGGTTGATTTTTCTCCCACTCCAGCAAGAGACTGACAATTTATCAGAGAGGGTTAAACACAGGATCTCTGGAATTATGGAATACTAAACACAATAGAGGGTAGGAATATTATATGGAAAAATAGCAGGGGGGTTACATTGAATAATGGGAACTCCAGTCTTTTGTCTCATTTAACACCTGGAAGTTTAGTAAGCAAGGCTAAACCTCCAGGAAGGATATAAGAAACTTCTTTGAACACTCTGACCATCAAAAGGAAAAATATCCTAAAGATAGTAATATCAAGGGTTTTCTATGCAAAGAACCCAGCCAGATCACCCTCTAGCAGGGTTTCTCAAACTCAGCAGTACTAACATTTGGAGATGGATAATTCTTTATTGAGGGGGGCTGTCCTGTGTATTGTAGGATATTTAGAAGCACCCCTGGCCTCTCATCACCTGATGCCAGTAACACAGATTGTGATGACCACAAACGTCTCCAAATGCTGCCACATGTTCCTGGGGGAGGGAGGAAGGAGAGAAAAAACAATCCCGAAATCACTTCTGGTTAAGAACCACTATCCCACAGCTCATAGTCAGCTAGTTCCACCCTCAATCTCACAGCTTCCAAACAGCTTTTAGCTTACCATTCTCAAATCTGAGAACAGAGCAATTTTTGGAAATTTAAAAACTACAAGTGAAAAACTAAATAGAAGCACTGGAAGATAAATTTAAGGAAATCTCTCAGAAAGCATAACAAAGAGACAAGAGAAAAGGGTTTTTGTTTTGTTTTTTTTTTTAAAAAGGAGGGGTGCCTGGGTGGCTCAGTCGTTAAGCATCTGCCTTCGGCTCAGGTCATGATCCCAGGGTCCTGGGATCGAGCCCCGCATCAGGCTCCCTGCTCAGTGGGAAGCCTGCTTCTCCCTCTCCCACTCCCTCTGTTTGTGTTCACTCTCTCACTGTCTCTCTCTCTGTCAAATAAATAAATAAATCTCAAAAAAAAAAGGAATCAATCCAGAATATCAAATATCCAAATAATAAGAGTTTCACAGAAAAATAGAGGAAAGGAAATTGTTAACAAATTATTTTAATTTTCCAGAATCAGAGGACACTGTATCCAACACAATCACAGCAAAGAAACTTATTTCAAGGTACACCACCATGAAATTTCACAGCACTATATACAACGAAAATATCCTATAAGCTTGCAAAAACAAAAATCGGTTTCATATAAAGAGTCAGGAGTCAGAAAATTTTGGACATCAAACGCAATATTGAAAACTAGAAAATCCAGAAAATTATTTACAATCTAGAATTCTATACCCAAACTATCAATCAAATGTGAAGACAGAATTTGATACAGGAGGAGAGAAGTGAAAAATCTCCAGAATGTTAATGAAGAAAGATCCCAGGATGACAGATGCACACAAGATGTAGAGGGAAACAAATCCATACTGAAGAACATCAGAATACTCTAAGGAAGATGTCCTCAAGAAGACAAAACTAATAGCATACCTGGTGCATGCAAACTTATGGAGAGGATATTTAGACAGTTGGCAGAATTCAGGGTTCAATCAGCAATAAATATACTTATTTAAAAATCAAGCAAATAGGGGCACCCAGGTGACTCAGTCAGTTAAGCGTTTGTTGGACTCTTGATTTTGGCTCAGGTCATGAGATCGAGCCTCATGTTGGGTTCCATGCTGGGTACGGAGACTGCTTAGGATTCTCTCGTTCTCTTTCTCCCTCCCTCTGCTCCTCCCCCTCATCCCCTCTCAAAAAAATAAATAAATAAATAAGATATTTAAAACCAAGCAAATAAATAAATAAGACAATTATTAATTCAAAGAGGGAAAAATTTGCAGAGAAAAAGAAAGTAGCTACAAGATACTATATAGCTCAGCTATGAATAGTGTTTACATAAATATATTAGCATAAATACTGAATTAAAACTTAATCAAATTACCGTGTAACTATATTGGGAGTGTGAATAGGTATGGGAAGAGTAAGTAGATGTGATGGAGACAACGAAGATGAAACAGAGCTAAATTCTTATTTTTCATATTAGGAAGTTTACTACGTCTACCCCAAATTTTAAAAATCAACAAGTAACAATACAAACATGTTATTTATAGTCATGAAGACAAATGTCAAGTAATCATCTAAAACATCTAAAATGTTTACCTCTGGAGATGCTGAGGAAAGGATCAGGCAAGTGGCTGCTTTATTTGCAGTAAGCTTATTACAACTATATAATTCTTAAAATTATATACATAGATAATCTTGATCAAAGGATATGTGAACAAATTAGAGAAATAAGGAATGACATGATGTGATTGGAAGAGTTAAAAAAACGTATTTAATGAAGGAAAACTGAACTAAATCATGAATGATAGTGAAGAATATACTAAAAATGTTTAACTATCAATGTCAGGATGTCAGAATGACCCACAATTTGCAAATTAAATATCTTTCTTCAGTGTTACTAATTTGTTTTAAAGTTTACTTTGTGTTGTAAAATATTAAGGGAAAGATAAAAGTAGAAAATTATGAGATAGTTATATAACCAATTTTAATTAGTATATTTAGAGTATTAAACTTTTATCTCCCTAATTTAAGAGTTAAAGAATGGTTTCAGAGAAGGCTTTTAAAACTATATGATGAAACCTACAAATTAGGGTTTAAGGACAATTTATTTATAAACAAAGCTTGTTATAGCAACAAGAGCTCACTTACAAAAATCCTCATACTGGTGCTGTAGTTCATCCAAAGTAAATATAATATCTCTAATATCCACCCTGTGGTTACCTGTAATAGAAAGAATAAGTTCAAATACTGTATTTCTCTTTTGAACACAAATATTACTTCCATCCTATTCTAATATGAAAATAACACAGAGATGTGTGGAAGGAGATGTGGAGGGCCAGCTATTACAGGTTTTGAATAATACCTGGAATTGTGAATTAATAACTCAGTACACACTGAAACATAAGACTAAGACCATTATTTTCTTTTCTCTTTAATAAGTTTCCCATCAAAAGAAATTAGTCACATTTTAAGCCCCAAAGCTAGGTAATCAAGATATTTTAATAAGCAGTTTTTTGAGAGTTTACCATAGGTAGAATTTCAAGTTTTAACTCTTACCTTCCTCACTAGGATCATGAGCTCTTCAAGAGCAGAGAATGTCATTTGTTTCCCCAATGCCTCGCAAAGTATCTACTTCCCAGCACTTAAAAATTATTTTTGAATGAATAAAATATACTGAAGGCTGTAAAGAATAATGCAATGTCTACACTGTGGATAGCAGAAAACCACTTACTTAGGACCTTATAGGTGCCCAGCACTCTCATAATTATAACTTCCTACCATTCTTGCCCTTGCCTCTTTCTAAGACCATTTTCCTTCTTGGGCAGTGCATGACAGAGGATGGGTTCAGAGGCAGTGACCTTAAATAATGTCATTCCAATTGTGCACAGAGGTAGAAAATACTTTTCCCAATCGTTCTTGCCTCCAAATGCTTGAGTTTGCCTGACATCCAAGGTGAAAAAGACCAGGAGTTGACTTATCTACCTATAAAAATACTAGGTTTATTCTTTAGTCTATGCATAAGAGATCAACTGCTCAATTATATGCATAAGCGAAGACCCTGAAAAAAAGATGCAAGCTTTTAATGTGCCTTCTGAGTCAAAGAAGAATTATACACAATATAGTTTTGGTGTTGGGTAGGTTTGATTCATTCTGATTCTTGAAAATTGGTAAGCTATGTCAGGTGCAGGCTTTTAAATTACTGCAAAGCAAGGTAAGTATTTGACCCAATCAAAGAAGTGTTAGACCAAATGATGCTAAGTTATCTTCTAATTAGGAACTGCTTCTTACATTCTGTTTTTTTTATTTCCTTGGTATTTAATCTCATTCTCTTCTTGATTATGGTTCTAACACCCCACCTTACACTCCCCAGGGAATTCCTGGCACTTACTGTAGATTGAGTCCATGTCCTAAGTTCTTAGATCATAGCTTAAGTCCTAATATAATTCAAGGCTTCAGCCCTCAAACTCTTGAATTCGATCAGTGCAAAGTATTCGACCATACGTAAATTAATCCAATGGAGAAGGCCATATTGTTTATGTGCTCTCCACTTAAAAAACTCCCTTCTCTGGAAAAAGGTCCAGTATCAACCAATGAGAATGCAGTAGCCAACTATTTATAGATTCGCTAGTTCTTGCTCAAAATTTATTCCTTGCTTCTATACAATAATAGATACCTATCACAAATCTCCCAAACAAATATTATTAAAATCTATTTAAATAGTCCCTAGTGGCCAAATAAGCATTACAGAATCTGAAATTACTATTTTGGCCCCTATCTGGCTTATCAAAACCTTAATGAATAATTCCTGGTTGAGACTGAGGCAATCAGTATAGTTATAGGCTCCATTTATTTCATAAGGGAAGTTCAAAACAACCTCCCACTCTTATATATGTACTTCTGGAGGAAATTCAACCTGGAAAATATAAACATCTAGTGTGAAAAAAATTATCCTAATCATCAAGGTCATATTCAGGGCAACATTACTTTGTGGTGTTAAGTGACTATTAACACTACATTTCCATAATCTTCACAAAAGCTCTGCAATATCAAAAACCTCCTCTATCAAAAATCATGCTAGTCACTACTTTTCACCCAGTTCAATTATCAGATTACTAATCACGAGAGAAAAAACTAAGGCACCAATATCCTATTTCAGAAACCAAACTACCTGACACTCCCAGAACTGACATCAAGTTATTTTCCATATTTCTTTTGCCATAACTTAATGAAGCAAATGCTTGTTGGACTTCCTTGCAAATTCCAATGGCCTAATTCTTTCCTCTTCATTGTGAACACTCATAAAGATGAACATATTCTCCACATATCATTATTACTCAAAAAAACCAAACCAAATACAAAAACAAGATGTTAAAACAGTACCTATAACAGGGTGCTAGGCCTTCTGCTAGTTATTTCACTACTTACTTCAAAATTTTGTTATAGAAAAATCCACATCTCCTACATGGGTAACCTAAGACTTTTGGCATTCTGGGGTTGTCCTTTCCTTTAATATTTAACAAAAATAGTTCAGACCCCAGACTGTACCCTATATGAACATAAATCAATACTTCCTCCAAAATTTGAGTATTTCTGAGTGTTTTATACTCTTGTGATTGATTTTTGTTTTCTCCGTTCCCCTGGACTCTTGATCTCACTCACATTATCACATTCTATAGGTGCTATATTCTCTCCACCCCAAGCCTACCTAACACAGAACCTATAGACTTTTCTCCTTGAAATCCACCCACCAATACTACTAACACAAGGCTATTGTATATAACCAACTTCTACTAGATAACTCGCAATTAATGGGAGTATGCGAGTTCTTCATAGTACAACAAGCAACTACATACTATTGTCCTAGAGTTCTATAGCTACTCTCTACTGATTGCAGGACCCCCAATCCACTCTTAGCTTCCCCCAGGCTTCTTCCTCCAGCTGCCAAATAGCCACTGTGGTATTCTAAGTTCCTGTTATTTTTTTTTTTTAAGACTTATTTATTTATTTGACAGAGAAAGACAGCAAGAGAGGGAACACAAGCAGGGGGAGTGGGAGAGGGAGAAGCAGGCTTCCCACAGAGCAGGGAGCCCAATGTGGGACTTGATCCCAGGACCCTGGGATCATGACCTGAGCCAAAGGCAGACGCTTAACACCTGAGCCACCCAGGTGCCCCATTCCTGTTATTTTCTTAAATAGAGTACTTTATGTTATCTTTTTGCTCAAACTAGGTGTCTCCCAATAGGCTTTAGCTCCCATAATCAAACAAACCTATTAAAATGATTTTCCTAGTCAAAGGACAAGGACCTTCCCTATGAGGAATTTTACCTTAAGTCACAACTGGCTTATTAAAATGACAAAGTGAAGAAATCTTGTTCTCCCTGGTTGGAGGAAATGGAGTAAAGGGTGAGACTTATTAACTCATTCAACATATATTTGTTGAGCAGTTAATATGTACCATAAGCACTGCACTAGTGGGTACTGAGGATACAATATTGAGCAAAAGTAGACATGATATCTGCTTTCCTGCTACTTAGCCTTATTTGAGATACAGATCTTAATAAAACAATAAGAAATAAAAATTGCAACTGTGGTTAGTGCTGTGAAAGTGTATGAGAATTTGACTGAGTTAGAAAAGTCATGGAAACATCCCTATAGAGTTGAATTTAAATCTAAAGTGTAAGTAGGAATTAACTAGGAGGAGCAGAATGTTCCAGGGAAAGAAAAGAACATATGCAAAGTCTATGGCAGGAGGAGGCAGGGTATACAACTGAAACTCTGCGAAGGCACAGTGAGCAAAGCAGAATGTGGTCTGCGATAAAGCTGGAGACCTATAGTAAAGGCCAGATATTGCAAGGCCTTGTATGCAACATTAAAGGGTTTTTCATCCCAAGAAGTAGTTTTAGATTTTATGCAGGAGGTAACATGATGAGATGTGTGTTTTGAAAAGATTATTCTGGCTACAGTGTAAAGGAGAAAGACCAGATATGGGTGGACTTGTTAGGATGAACATTGATAGTCCTAAGGAAAGATTATGGTAACTTGGACTAAGGTAGTAATATTGGAAAATAGATACCTAGAAAGAGATATCTAGGAGTTTAAAATAAGAGCAATTCCTAATGATTTCATGAGGAGAACAGAGAAAACAGAGTTGTCAAGGATAATTCTCAGGTTTCCGCTTCACATTTCTTGAGACTGTTCTAGGTGCCAAACACAGTAATAAATGTTTATATTTAATTCCTACAACAATCCTATGAAATTAGCATAATTTTTCAGTTTAGCTCCCCAAATAAAGTAGAAGGCCTGGAAGTCCAGGCCAGAATTCCCTAAGTCAAAAAAGAAAAAAGGTGCTGCAGTGATCTCACGTATGATTTCTGTTGCTTCTGGTAGAGGATGCCCTAAAGGCTATTTAATAATATGGCTTGAGGTTAAACTTTAAAATCCCCATTTTATGGACATCTTCATGCCTCAGAACATCCCTACACTTATGTCTACTAACCCAGAACCCACCATAAATGACTACCTCGTAAAATCCATGCAGCCTGGGGTGCCTGGGTGGCTCATTAGTTAAGCGACCAACTCTTGATTTCAACTCAAGTCATGATTTCAGGGTTATGAGATTGAGCCCCGCATCAGGCTCTGCACTGGGTGTGGAGTCTGCTTAAGATTCTCTCTGCCCCTCACTGCTCTCCTTCTCAAAAAACAAAAACAAATCCATGCAGCCCGGTCCTATCTTCACAACACATTTCAGCAGCCAAAGGCCCACTAAAAAGCCATCACTAACAAATGACAAAAACTAATGGAAGCCCATTGAAAAAGATGTCATGTCTCATTATTTTCCTTCCATATTTACACAAACTATTCCCTCAGTCTGAAATATCTTTCTCACTCTTTACTACCACCTTCAACCAACCAACCCCTACTGATCCTTCAAGATTTAGCTCAGGTATCACATCCTCTGATAATCTTTCTCTGGTGCTTCCAGGATACATTTGCAGCCTATCTACATTTATAATAGTATTTGTTATACAACATTATAATTCTCATTTTACTTGACTCTTTCCACACTAGAATGTGAGCTCCTTTGGAAAAAGAAGGGTGTTCTATTCATCTGTGTATCACCTAGCACAGTTTCAAGCACAGTAGATACTAAATGACTATCTGACTTATTAAATAAATGGATATTCAATGAATCAATTATTGATCAGTCCATTATTATCAGACACCCCCTGGTGACATGTAAACATATGATACAAAACATCTGCTAAATATATTTATAATGTTTAAAAGAAATCTACATTTTGCAGAGTACCTGATTAGCATAGAAAGATTATATAATCAAAGCTATCCAAAAAAATTAAAAACTCAAGAAATTTAGGTCTCCTAACTTGAGAAGCCAATGCCCTTGACACTACAGAAACTATCTCTACACAGATAAGAAATAACTATTGGAAAAGAAAGGTAAGTTTGAAAAGAAAATAAATCCATTTTTCTCTTAGATTTTTACCAAACATACTAAAATATGACAATTTTAGAAGTTTCTCATTTAATTTTCCTAGACTATTTCTTACCATAGACACCTGTAAGCAGTAATGATGGCAAAAGGCAAGAATCAGAAGAAAAAGGAGAAATAAAGGATGAATCAGAAAACTGATATCCAAGAAAGATATATATACATATTAATTCAAATAACTCACTGTCTATACTAGCATATTTTATCACTTCCTGAAAAGTTTCAGGGATTACAGGGATATCCATGCTATCCAAAACAGCAGCCAGTTCATCAGTTGCAACTCGACCACCTTTTATCCTAGAGAAAATCTTCAAGGCATTTTGGAATGCTGCAAAAATACAATAAAAAAGAAATTATTTTACCATAAGAACCAATAGATTTTCTTGGAGGAGCTGATTCTGTGTCAATAACCTACCAGGTTAGGCATAGGGTTTCCTAAAAATTTATCTGCAAGTAGGCATTTGCCCAATTCTGACCACATTCTTAGTAGAAACTATAATTTTTGCTATTATCACTACTGATATAAAATTAGCAACAATAGCTGGTATTTATTAAATGCTATTTATATGCTGAGCATCGTGCTAAAAGCTATGGGTATTCTGCTAAAAGGTATGGGTTCTCTCATTATACCACAGTCACCTCTCAGTTAAAACTTTTAACTAAAATAATTTCTTACCAGTGGTATAATCTATAATAGCAAGGCAGCTTAAACCAAAATTTGAGAGCATGATTAATTGCTTAAAAATGTAATTTTGTAAACATAGTATAAAAGAGAGAAGAATGGAGTAGACGTAAAATTTCTATTTCTCCATAGAAACTTCATTTTCTTTTTTTTTTTTAAAGATTTTATTTATTTGCCAGAGAGAGAGAGAGAGAGGAGGACCACAAGCAGGCAGAGGGAGAAGCAGGTTCCCTGCTGAGCAAGGAGCCCGATGTGGGACTCGATCCCAGGATTCTGGGATCATGTCCTTAGCCGAAGGCAGACATTTAAGCAACTGAGCCACCCAGGCATCCCTAGAAACGTCATTTTCTTATGCTAACAGTCCTTAGTATCAAAAGTGAATTGGAAAGAACACGGTTAGAAGAAAATATTCATATTAATGAAAGAATTTTCCCTAAACAAATGTCTTCCTTAAAACCTAAACAGATTGATACCTGGTCCTAATGCTGAATTTAAGTGCTTCTCAGACCACTGCAATCCCTAATTTAATTTGATAAGGAAAGAATAATCAATAATAACAATAATTACAATATTGTTTATTGTATTTAATTCAATCAATTAAATTATAATTTAATTGTAATTAAGTTAATAATTACAACAATAACAATAATCAATAAAAACAATAAACAATAATCCATACCAGAGAGCAAGTCACTTTATAGTCAGACCATATTTTCTTGGAATTCAAGATATAACAAGCAGAATGATCCACAAGGTTTTAGATTTGCACTGACAGGGAGGAAGAACTGGGCATTAGTCACTCATTCAACTGGTAGTTATTGATCAAGTGAGCAAAAGTGGCAGAGGAAGGACCTTTGAGAACCCTCTCCTCCATAAAAGCAATGAGAACACTGGTGAAAATTATCAGATCAACTTTTTTCAAAACTCTGGATATAAATCAAAGGCTTACAGCAATCCAAAGAGTGTATTTTTAAAGAAAAATGGCTGAATCTCAATAATAGTGAACTTTGTGGCATTTTAACTTGCCATATTCTCATCTCACCATCCCAGCTTCCTAGGAACTTTGAAAACTAAGAGCCTACAATCATGATGAAAAACAGCAGCCTGACAGCCAATGGAGAAGAATGAGGTGAGAACTTCTTCAAAGCCCCATTCCCTAAGAACTGTCATTATTAGACCTATTTGGTGGTCCCATGGAAGACCTTACTTGCACAACCATCCTTATTTGACCTGACTCAAAATTTGCCCAATGCAGAGTCTTTTCCCTGGGAGTACTCATCAAAAACAATCAGAGGCAATTAGTTAACATTATGAATGCCTGAAGTGGAGCAAGCACTGGGTGTTATATGTAAGTAATGAATCACTAAAGTCTACTCCTGAAACCAGTATTACACTATATCTTAACTAACTAGAATTTAAATAAAACTTGAAACAACAACAAAAAGACAGATTCTGAAGTCCTGCTCTTCAATGTTATTGCTGCTCTTCTAATGACATACTAATTTTAAAAAAAGTCAAATAAACCCACAACTGTACAAAGAATAAAGATAAAAAATAAAGATAAAAGCAACACAAATTTCCCATTCAGGGCATGCAAAAAATGATACATTTTGATTAATATCCTACTCAGATAACTTTCTACTTTTTTTTATGCACATCAATGATTGTGAACATTTCACCCAAATAAAACAGTACATACAGTCTACTATCTTTCCACTCAAAAATATGTCATGGGCCTATTTCCAAGTCAATAAAAACAGGTGGAGCAAACAACAGGCTAGCAAACAAGCTTAAAAGGAAAATCTGGGGAATGAGATATCCATAGAGGCCTTTGAAAAGTGCCAACATATTCCTGAGCATCTAGATGGCCACACACATGGATAGGGCCATACCCAGGGAAGCCTAAGCAGGTCCTGAACTCTCACCTCAGGCTTACATTGAGGATACACTTAAGAAGGAAGTGAAGGCTAAGGAAGAGTTGAAAACTATCTGAGTGTTGAAGGCATGCCCCAATGCATGCACAGATCCCTCTGGTTCTCTTCTAACTAATAACTGATAACTAGGGAGCCTGGGTGGCTCAGTTGGTTAAGCGACTGCCTTCGGCTCAGGTCATGATCCCGGAGTCCCAGGATCAAGTCCTGCATCGGGCTCCCTGCTTGGCGGGGAGTCTGCTTCTCCCTCTGACCCTCCCCCCTTTCATGTGCTCTCTCTCTCATTCTCTCTCTCTCAAATAAATAAAATCTTTAAAAAAATAATAATTGATAACTAATTTTGCTTTACAAAGGCATCATAAAGATAGAGGCACAGATATAAATATAAAATAAAATACAAAAATAAATATATATAAAATTAAAAAATATAAGAAAAGTTATATTCATTGTGAAATTGTTTATAATACTAAGATAATTAGAACCAATTAAATATTCAATAATAAAGGATTAGTTAAATAAATTATAGTATATCTACATTTTTCAGATACCATACAGCTATTAAAAAGTAATAGGTTGACCGACATCTACTAGCATGGAAAACCTTCCAAGACATATTATTCAGTTAAAAAAAAAATCATGATAGACAATAATGTATTTGGCATGATTCCTTTCTCTTAAAGTAGAAGATAATTCTATTTTTTCCTTTTATTTTCTTAGGGTCTCTTGATTCCTAACTGTATGCTTGATCTTTCCACTTGCCTCTGTAAGATTTAGGTCCTCTTGTTCTACTCTGCCTAGTAATTGATAACTCATTTTGTCTTACAAAATATAACAATATGCACACATACATATATATTCAAATTACATACAAAAAGATTCCGAAGTCAACATTAAACTAACAATCTAGGAAGAATTAAAGAGCCTCATTTACATATTTATATTCATATATTGCTTGGCTATTTTATAAAAATAGCATATTCAAGAATTAGGCGTATTGTTTAAAGAGATGAAAAAGATCTAACCACAGAGGCAAAGAATCTGTACTCAGAAAACTATAAAATACTCATGAAAGAAATTGAGGAAGACACAAAGAAATCGAAAAACGTTCCATGCTCATGGATTGGAAGAACAAATATTGTGAAGATGTCAATGCTACCTAGA